AGTGTCGTCTTGATGCCAACTATTTACCGTGATGTATGTTTCATGACGTCTTGAGTTGATTTGTTTTTAATCTGCGAGTAGTTTTTGGGTGTTGCCTTTGTTTATGTGGCATTGTGTGTGTATCCCTTTCTCGAGAAGGGAATCACTGCCACTTGTTAACGGGACCGTTGCCAATTCGTCGGCTCCCTCTCGCCCTGTGCCAGCACGCTCGAGAGCATTGGTTGAAGTGATACCGTGTTGAGGAAGCAGCAAAGTTCTGTTCCTTTTTCCTCTGCGAGCGGGTGTTGCTCTCTGGGAAACACTCCAGTGAGAAGCAGGTTCTGTGTGGACCGGCGAGTGAGTGTTACCGCGTGTTCTTTTCGACTATGGACGCAAGTCTTCGTGTGTGTGCAGTGTGTTGAAAGCCTGTAGGGGCACCCCCCCAACGTTTGGGTGTGTTTTGTTGCAGCTGGTTGGCGCATTCTTCCGGGAGGAGTGGAATGCAGGGTTGAGGTTATATATGAGATAATCTAATAAAAGTAAATAGAGTTGTGTTACTAAAAACTGCCGGTCTGCTGTGATGTTTTCTCCCCGGTACACTCACATCACACATATTTTTCACATACATATTGATGGAAATTAAAAGTGTGCCAGAATCATTTTCCTCTAGTCTGTGCTGGCGTAATTATTTTATGTTTGCCGTTTTTACACATTGGTTATTACTGAACAGGTTAATAAAATAGCATAATGATTTTTTTACTACAGTAACAAAAAAAAAACATGCAGCACATGTTGTTAGTAGATTGGGTGCAGTTAAGGGCTTCTTGTACTTTAAAATACTCTCTCAGTTTATATTTCTATCACCTATCTATCCCATTGAGAGTGTGATCCCAGCAAAGAATGCGGTGCAGTGACTTCCGTACCTTGTCTCGACTGTGAAACACGAGAATGACGCACATCAAACTGGATCACTGGAAAATTTGTCCACAGGATCTCGGCTGCGGCGGTTGCATTTTCGATGGAGGAGAAGTGCTCCAGGCCCGTGTGCTCAGATTTGGCTGCACGTTAAAGAACTCTAGGGGTTTGAAATTTCCGGAGCCCTCCGCTACGGCGTCTCTCATAATCATATGATGGTTTTGGAAAGTTAGACCCAACATATCAATCAATCAGGATGGGCTATATTGCAAGAGCAAGATGTACCCTGTGAGCAGGTGTAATATATCTCTGCAGTGCGAACGCATCAGGAAACAAAAGCAAATGAGAAATTTGTAGTAGTAAATTGCTAACCTTAAAGAACAATAAAAACAGATGAAGGAAAAGAAATCGGAAGGGCTCGTTCCTTTCCAATTAATAAAAAAGAGGAAGTAATGAAGCCAGAAAAAGTATAGGGGACTTAAGTTGTACTGTTTTTGTAGATGTGAAGAAAGTAAATTTGACGAAAATACAAATTGTTGCTGACAGGGTCCGAACCTGCAACCTACGAATTGCGTTCCCCTACGCTGTCACCAGTAGAGCTGTGGTGGCAGTCGTGCCCTCATCCACTTTGTGATGCACTTTGGTGTATGCAAACACCTGAGAGCGTTAGTAGTGCCACTTGCAGTTATGACAAGTGGGGAACACCATTTTCTTTGCCAGCTGGTGTCACGTAGCACATGATCCTTTAATGAGCAAACAGCTGACCAGTAGGCCCTCGCATACTACTTGAAGACATCAAGTCTGCCGTAACAAGACGCTGGCTATAAATGAGAGAAGAAAGAAAAATTTTGAGGGCTTTTTTTTTTTCACCAGCAGATAATATAATGCGAAGGAAAATATAGAGGACATCAGTTGTACTCTTTCAAGTGCATTTGTAGTAATTGTGATGTAAATATAAAGAGAGTAAAATTCGTGAAAAGTCGACTTGCTGCCAGCGGCAACTGAACCTGCAGTCTTGAGATGATGCACCTGATGCTTTTACCACTCGAGCTACATTGGCATTTGTCCCCTTTCCACGTTTACCGTCACGGCTGCAAGTGGCGCTGTCTTAACACTTCCAGGGTTTGCATGCACATTGATACCCCACAAAGTAAATTAGCAGATGACCGCCACCGTAGCTCTCGTGTTAACAACATTGAGCGCATAATCCAAAGGTTGCAGGTTCTGACCTTGTCGAGAGCAAGTCGCCCTTTCGTCCAATTTACTTCCTTCACGTATGTATCACAATTGCTACAGTACGCTTGAAACAGTACAACTGATGCCCCCTGTACTTTCCTTGGCTTTATTATCTCTTGGTTTACCTTAACATAAGCGGATTACACACATAGAGCAAGAAAGGAAACTGAGCAAGCATTGACCATTTGCACAGCTTCGTTGCAGTAATCCACTAACTCACCCATATTTTTATCATGATACATCAGTTTTTACGTTCTTAGACAACAGTTTATCAATTCTTGTGTCTCATGAAAAGGAGATCTGCGTGTGGCATCATTGTAGTTGTTTGAAAGTGTCTACCTGCCGACAGCGTAATCGCAAACATGGCTCAGTAAGTCACGTGGCTCAGCTTTTTACAACGCTTTGAGCGATAAAAAACGACATGCAAATTTCACTTCCTGAGACTCGGTAACTCTGGAATTAAGCATGAAAGAATGCGAGTTATTAAGTTAAGGAATGAGCTCACAGCAGGTGAAATAGGAATACGCCTTAACGGGCCCTGATAGCAGCCACCAAATAGTGAAATAAAAAAAAAAAACTGGTTCTTGCGGAATGAAAGTGGCAGTAATGCAAACAGAATGTTTTTCAGAAGTTTCAGAAGCTTTCAGTATATTCAGAGGAATGCTGGAAGGTATTTTATTAAAAAAAATAAAGAACTTTAGGTTGCTGCCAAACATCTAGAGCCACGAACTATTTAAAATCATTTCTGCTGCCCTGTGGCGATGACTTTTTCAAAGAGGTACTGAAATTGTCAGTTATCTTAGTCAGGATCATTATGTTTGTGCCATTGCTCCGGTAACATAATTCTGGACAATTTCACTGTAAATAGCACTGCGAATGCGAGCTTCAATTAACACTTTGTTCATAATTGTGTTCAGCAAGAACTGAAACATTGTGTTCTCAAATCAAGTATAATGCGTTTGCAGAAGGAGTCATAAAAGCTTTTTTTTTTAGTGCGTTTGTATCCCTTTCACTCATCTCTGGTATTCTGGTATCGAATCGGTGGAAAGGCATAATGAGTGTGTTGTAGAGCTCTCCCAGTGCATAGGAAAGTTAGTTTGGTAATTATAAACAGTGCTGTTGTACAGGCACTGAAAAACAAGTTCATTTATTTTGTCTTGATAAATTGCCCTCTCACAACATTAAAGGCATCACTTTTCCTGCAAAGGGACTTGGTGAGCCAGAAAATGGGAGGGTAGGGGGGGGGGGGGGGGGTGTGACTCAGAAATTTGTGTCATCATAGCACTGGGATAATTAAGTACTTGGTCTTTATTAATAATGAATTAATAATTCATGTATAATTAAAAGAAGTAAATGTTCATTAGGAATGTAAGTTCTGAATGGTAAGCTTTCACACCTATTGCTATATACTTCGAACAGTGTACCTGCACAAACGTCGCTACAAGAAGTGTGACAAAAACAGTAAGTATTGTAGTCTTTAGGCAGCTGAGTATGCTCTGAAATGAAGTGTCAATAATGCACTTGCCTAAGTTGTTCATGTTTTTAAATTTAGAACGTGAACCTTCATTCGATGACACTGTCTTGCCTGGTATATGCATTTTCTATAAAAACGAGCCAAGACAATGCTCAGATAAAAAAATAAATAATTTATATATAACTGTCATGGTAATACCAAATTTGTGGTTTGCATTCCTGAAGGCTGAGTTCAATTTGAAACAATTTCTCGTGGTGTGCTTCTCGAGTTAGCTTGACTTGCTGTTAGCTTGACATCTTAGGAAAGGCAAATTGGCCATCTGTAGCATGTTACATCTTTAATTTCGTCTCCTGCTTGAATTTACCCTTTCTGGTATCTTTGTGCTTCACTGAAAAAACTGTTGATACTAACGTACAACGGTATACAGTCAGAATTGATAATCCTACTGCGATGCTTCATAGCACCAATATATTGATGGTACACGTTTAGATGGCATTAAGTTTGGCATACCCTTCCCACTTGATGTGCATGCTGTTTTGCTCAAAGGAGCCCCACCGCGGTGGTCTAGTGGCTAAGGTACTCGGCTGCTTACCCAATGGTCGCGGGATCAAATCCTGGCTGCGGCGGCTGCATTTTTGATGGAGGCTGGAATGGTGTAGGCCCGTGTGCTCAGATTTGGGTGCACTTTAAAGAACCCCAGGTGGTGAAAATTTCCGGAGCCCTCCAGTACAGAGTCTCTCATAATCATATCATGGTTTTGGGACGTTTAACCCCACATATCAATCAAATCATGTTTTGCTCATAGAAAGACAGCTAGTTACTCTACATCGGGGCCATCTGTGCCAATGAACATAGAAGGGTCTTCCTATTTTGACGGCCAAGGTAAAGTAGCATGTCTTGCCGTGGGAAGTCATCAGGCATAGCCAAGGCTAGAGGCAGGGTACAGGTATGAAAAGTAGAGGCAGCAATGACCACCAACTGGTAATACAACTTTATTGTAAGGCATGACTTTATGTCACGAAAGACAAGCAAGGCAAAGCTGCTTGGTCATCGGACAACGCGTAGTCACTAGTATACAGATGCCACCAACCAGCATTTGTCGCTTCAGTATATTTAGGATGCAAGATCGGATTAATTGAAAGGGTGACTGTGAAGGTGTGATGTAAAAATTGCCATCACGTGCCTTAGCTAGTAGAGTAGCTTGTGCAAGCAAGCAAAAAACTTAGTGACGTTTTTAGTCAGTCCTGAAGCTTGGTCTCAGATGACATGTAGCAGAGGTGATGCATGGTCAAGGTTCCAGCTTCAGGACGTCGGCAGTTGGGGGGGGGGGGGGGCTTTTATTTTTGCTGATGTTCTCGTAGAAATACATTCTCTGCATTCGCTAATTTATTTCCAGGCTGTGATGTTGTGGACTCTAGTGAAGAAAGCTGTTACACCTTCAGCAATGAGTGCTTGGATCCCCTCACTCTGCTGAGCCACTTAGAAATGGACACGGGAAAACTCGCACTTTTTACAGAAGAGCAACTTGAGGTATGTGGTTATAGTGTTTGCGTCCCGTTTTTGCGTATTCTTCCGAAAATTTCACGTTTGTTCATGCGAGGCCTACACCTCCATCTGTCTGTTTCCATTCGTTCGTAGACACCACTCACTCAAGAAGTGAGGTTTGTAGTTGCGGGATCAAGTATGAGCGAGACAGTAAACCAAGTTCAGCCATAAATGCATATGCTAGAGACAGAACGTAGGTTCACTGGGAGACAGAATTTCACCATCAAAACATTGTTTCTTGTCTGGAAGGCACCTCATTTGACCACTGCTGATCGCTCCCGACTGTAGCCTTTTTTTTAACCGTTCACTTCCTTAATCCCATTTCTCTGCATTGAAGGATGCATTGATTCTCGACAGGTGCTTGCAGACATGTCGATAGAATCTGTGGATCCTGAGCGGTTCAGCCGAACCTTCGTCGAGACTGTGATCGACACATGCGGGAGGCTTCTGGTGGAGAAGAGGGAAGCCCAAGAAGCCATTGAGCTCATTAAAGCTTTCTCGCAGAGCAGTCAGAACGAGGCCGACGATTCATCACTTGGGTAAGCAAGCCGTGCAGTTTGTCGTCTTATGGGTTCTGTGGTTTCGTAAGCTATTCAAGGAAAGCTGCAACTCAGAAAAATTCAGAGCGGTTTCTCTATCGAGAAATTTAGGGCACGCAAAGCTTGGTGTGTGCATGCATTAACTAATACTTTATTTATTTATTTATTTCTCTCATATTGCACAATTCTTCCTCCTGACTTTCTCCATCCTTCTCCCTGGACTTCAACTCACGTGCATAGCAGCGCAACACCTGCATTGCTACAGGCAACAATCACGACCATGCATGAAAAAAAAAAAAATTAGAGGTGGTGACGAAACGTAGCAACATAAATGGCAAGTGGCCTCAATTAAAGATCACATTGCTGTATCAGAAATGGCTGATCACCGACAAGCTCGCGATCGAAAGAGCGTCAATCCTCATCGGGCCGCGTTGTTGTCTAATCGCAGGCGCGGGTTATTTCGCGTACGATGTCTGTATGTGCTTAGTCCGTGGTTAACTCACATTGTCGGTAGCCGATTCTCAGCGATGGTGCTTTTTTTATTTCTTTTATACAGTCCAGACACTCAAAGTGAAGAGGGAACGTCCCACACAAAGCACAGCAGGGAAGGTAGCAGTGACGGAGATGGTGAGTGGCTGCCGCATGTGCAGCATCCTCAGTCTTTGCAATAACCGTCAAAAGTGATGATCTGAAGTATTTTGTGTTATGTAAACTTGCGATGTAAAGACCAGCATCTGGTAACAGGGTGTTTTTTGTTTCTTATCTAGAACAAGCAGCAAAAAAGACAAAGACTAGCTGACATCCACAGCAGTTGTGAAGCACCACACACTTTTCAGTTTCTGGTCTTGAAGGTCTCGTCAAGCATTCTGTGAAGCAAGTATGCATGTACCATATATTTTCAAAATTTCATGCCTTTAAGGGTAAAGGTTTGATTCTTGTACGATCATTGCCCTGTGCGAGTTTTTTCTTTAATGTGAAGTGGAGTCAGGTACATTACTTTATCGCTTTGGTATTTGAATTCTTTGTTTTCGGCCCTCGTGAAAAGAGCTATGCTACATGCTTAGGGCTTGCAACAGTAAAGTGTCATGTTTGCATTGGAAGGAATTTTCGTGGAAGTACAGTTTTCACTAATAAGCAGAATTTAATGATTCTTCTACTTCTGAATTTGAGTTTGATGTCCATGTGGAGTTAGCTAACATTTGTTTTTCATTGCCACATGGCAAACGTGAAGCACAGGATGAGAAGGTTGCCCAATGTTGACATTGTGATAACCATGGTTCAGTCGAGAGAACGTGCAGGTTGCAGGTGCAGGAACATGCACTTGCAGAAGACCTGGTGGCTTTGAGTGTTTTGCTGCTGTTGCTGCAACATCGAATGTAGTTATTACTCCTACAAGGGCGTAAAATTTTTTTTGAGTGCGTGATTGGGAGGAAACATACGGTCATACCCATCTATTCTCAGCACATCATCACATTGTGTTGTATTCAATGTGCTATTTTCACATTTATGCTAGCATGTAGCAGTCACTAGGGCATGAATATTTGTTTGCAAATATCGCAACACGCTTTTGGTGCAAGAAGACTAATTAGCGTTATTGCCTAGCTGTTCTGTGATTGCCGTCCAGCGTGTGGATTGAAGCATGAAGCAATTTCAACATTATAGTACTATACAAACTATATAGGGCCTATGATGCACCAACTTTCATGTTGTATGTTGCGCTGTAAATGACAAACATGTTGTAAAGAAAGAATTTGCTAGGTTAGCTGTTGCTGCTAGATGCCTCAATATATAGTAACATTTTATTTAGGTTCTGGATGCATAACTTGCAAGTGGAACATCCGATTTACGTGCTGTGACACTCGGTCGTAAACTGTACAAACGGCGTTGCACATCTGGGGCTAGCCAATGTGTGATGATATGTCATAAGTTGCCAAAGCGTTGAAGTGTTGGTACTACTAATTTTTTATAAGAGTTCATGGTGCGCACATACTGGTATGAATTCACTGCACCACATGCACTGTAAAGATGAGCACCAAAGTAAAACAGTGAAGTTTTTCATAAATATATCGTAAACATGTTCTGAGATGTATAAGTTCGTATAGAGCTAACATACCACCTTTCATTTCAACGAAGAGGACGACTGCTACGTAGGGAAAAAAAGCTGGTGCATTGTAGTATGAGTGGGCATTCCCTGCAGCACTGTTTGTCATTTTTGTGACAGTTTATTATCTTGAAAGACCTTGGAGATTGTGTTTGAAATAGCTGTACATGTATTTTTTAAGTTGAAGGAACTTCAATGGAGGATCTGTCTTCACTATCATCATTATCTCTTGTGTGACTTCTGTCTTTCTCAAATAAAGTTCAATGATAACTGTTCTGACAGTGTTGTGTGGAGAAATATTATTGAGTGCTATTTCGCAACCATGAAGTAGCACTCCGGTTCACAATACAATTTAAATATTTAGCTTGTAGGTAATATGATATGTGGAAAACAGGGCTGGTCAAATGGGAACACATTAATAAATATGCCTTGTGTTCCTTTTCACCATGGTTTCCTCAACGAAGACGAGATGTAATGAGGGACACTGTTTTATAGACGTGCAATTTAATTAAACAAAGATCAATTTTTTTTAGTTTCCAAATCTGTCTCTTGACTTTTTCCCTGCAGTTTTTATTACTTACATAACACTTTTTACCTGCACATAGTGTGGTTCTCTTTTGGCATGCCTGGAACATCACAAGTTGTTATATTGAACTGCTGTATGAATAATCACACGAAGACCCAATTTCCTATTGTAGCTGCTACAAACGGCAAAATCTCAGGTACTGTGAAATAATAAATGCCTTAAAATTTTAAAAGCTACCAGCAACAGATCCAATTTGTTCTGCCAACAATTTTCGTAAGAGATAGTTTTCAGCTCACCGTGCACTCATGGCGCACAAGGTGTAGCAACTACTAAGCTCTGAAATAGTCAAGCCTAGGCTACTATTGCTTCCAGCATGTGCATAGTCTCAGGGACATTTCTGCCATTATTAGTGACCACAGCCAAGTGTGAGCCGTCCTTTAGTGCCACTAGTTCTGTGGTCACATTGGACTAAGATGAACATTCGTTGAGTCTCATTATCTGGTGTCATCTTCTCCCTGCCTGAGCTTCGTGAACATTTGACCCAGCATGCGATTACACAGGGCTGCGTATGGGTTCATCTGGACCAGCTGGTTCTTGGCAAATTGGCTTCCCAGCTTGGCAGCTTCCTTGAAGTCTGCCTGAGCCTCTTGGTCCTTCTCTCTGAGTCGGTAGATGAGCCCGCGTTGACAGAGGGCCTGCGCAGCTGCGTGTTTGTTCTCCTGGCCAAGGTTGATGGCATTGTTGAGATCTTCCAGGGCACCTGGACATGTGAACCAATAAAAAGTATAACAGATTTAAGTTGATATACACGAATGCTCCTTTTATTGTTGCTTGCTTTATATATACATACTTTTTATTTTTATGCATTAAAGTGGGAGGATCAACTCAAGCTTGTACCACTTTAGCCTCATTCAAGGTGCAGTCTTTTATTTGTTTGCTCTGAACTGCTCAAATGATCATCGCGGTGCAGCAAATCTAAGAGGACTTCATAGTTGGGTGGTATGGCATAACATGCTCAGAGTAGTGCACATTAGTTTGTGGAATATATCACTTGTCACATTTAAATGGCTACCCTAACAAATAGGTGCTTGGCTACTTGAAATTGCACATTTAGTATCACAACATTTCTCACCGAGTGTTGTGTGGCATAAGCATTGCAGTAAAGATTAGCTGTTCTTGTGTACTTGGCTTCAGAAAATGTGTTTGCGCTGTTAGTGTCACAGTGCAGGCAAATGAAGGGGTGCAATGAGGGATTAATAAGAGATGTACATTGGCAGAACATGTTGAGGTCTGTCTGAAAATATTAGAGGACATCAAAGAGGTTCTGGCATATACACAACTGTGTTTATTCATAATTCATACAAATATCAAGCTTCTATGAGCCCCACAGAACTCTGGAAATCATTCATTGTATGAGGTAAGTGAAGTTTCACGTGGGTTTTAGAAGTGTTCTGGAAGTGCCCCTATGGCACACCTTCTCTACTGCTCTGGCTCAGCACAATTATGCTTGCGCAAATGCTCATCTGACGTTGGATACATCAAAGCAACATATAGCTTTGCTTGTAGACTGGCTATTTAGGCTGTGGGTCATGCATGTTTGGGTTAGCATCATTTATTGTAAGATATTGTTTTGCTGGAGCTCTGAACACACATCAACCTGTAAGCAGCGGGAACTGCTACAGTGCATATCTATGGACTTTTATTTGATACCTATGTTCGTTTTGAAAATGTTACCCTTTCTGTATGGTATATTCTTGATCTCTACACCCTGTGCAGTGTAGTTTTTCTATGTAACTTGGAAACAATCACCATGTCTACATGCATGCTCCTCTCCTGTTTGGGATTTTTCAGAGTACAAAGATTTACATCACATTTCCAACAAGCAAGAGTAGTGAAACTGGTTAAGAAAATGCACACAAAAGTGACTATTTCTTCGTACCAAAGTTGTGCCCTCATAAAGTTGCACTGCTTATCTCTGCAGTTGTTCTTGCAGTCGTGATTACAGGTTATGTTCACATTATTATTATTGTTTATTAGAGCTTTGGAGTAGATTTCAGTGTGGTGCTTTTTAGATAATGGTCACCAAACTGTAACTTACATAGTAAGTGCCTGTACGTAACACAAATGGTTAAAAATTCATGTAGAGGAATGCAGCAACGCAGAAGTGCAGTAGGGATGTGTCTCTTTCCACAGGATGTGCCGCAGAGCTCACTTACGATCAACATCGCCCTTGATTCGCAGTGCCTGTGCCCTGTTGTTGTAGCCAGAAGGCCTGTTGGGCACCAGTCGGATGACCTCGCTGAATATTTCAATGGCTTGGTCAATGTCGCCTTTCTCGGCAGCCTGCACGCCTTCAACCTCTAGTGTCTTCACCTGGTTTGGTGTCCCATTCTCTGAAAAAAAAGGTTGGTTATATAGAAGGTGCGGCTAGTGTCGTGCAGTATATCTATAGCCATCAGGTAGTGCGACACACATGTTATTTTACATCGGCTGTCAATCGCATGAGTGGTTGGTAATATGTGTATAATGTAGACCAACGAGAGGCAACAAAAGTAGACGGCTGCCATCGCGCTCTTCATGGCATATGCGTTAGGTCGTGCATGTGAAAATTTGTCTCTCTTTTCGCCATTATTCCTCTCCCTCAGTGCAGAAGTGCAGTAAGATGTGTCTCTTCCACAGGATGTGGAAGAGACACTTAAGATCAAAATCGTCCTTGAATTGCAGTGCCTGTGCCCTATTGTTGTAGCCAAAAGGCCTGTTGGACGCCAGTCGGATGACAGTTGAGGGTCAGCAAACCGGACGAGTGCCTGGTAAACTTTCCTGCCTTTCCTTGCATCTCTCTTCCATATTTGCTGACTTTTGGTGGAAGCTATTCACAATCGGCAAATTTTTGGGTGCTGAGAACTCTGCAAATAACTCCCCAAAAACCAAGCCATATATTCCACCTTTGCTGCTCTTCATCTTGTTTTCTGCCGACCTTAGCACTGAAGTATCCCAAAACTGTAGGCGTACGCATGGGTCCCCTTTGGGGGGGGGGGGAAGGGCAAAGGTTTTTCACAGCGCACCACCCCTTCCCTATCATGTCAATAAATGTATGGGGCTGACTTGCACCACCTCTCTCCCCCTATCATGTCAATGTATGGGGCTGGCTCTGCACCCTCTCTTGCCCCCACCCCTTGTGCACGCCTATGGCCATAACTGTGTTTTTACCTTATTCATTGCCGATTTCACGAGGTCATTGAATATTTCAACAAGTCCTCTGACCTGGCTCGATGTATACGCTTAGGCCGGTACCACCTTCACTTCGTAATTCTAGTACACTGTAGTACCTGTCAAGTACGATCCTTGCCACCCTCGCGCAGTAAAAAGAGTAATAACAGCGCAACTGAACGCGAACAGAGAAGATGCAGTCACACGCAGCGCCGACTTTCAACTGGAAATCTTTATTTCATGTGTACCTTGGCTAATTTCGATATTAGTGCACTTGAGTTCAGAGGCACAAGCATTACTGACAGTGTCAGTCACGTCCTCCGTGGTGCCTGATGCGTCAGCCTTCTTTCTGTCATTTGCACTATGTACGCTGTCCACAAAAATTTGAGAGGTGTGAACGCATCATGATGTCGTGATACTGGTGTCCGTTCTTTGGTGCAAGTGCACCACACGTATAAAAGCGGAAAATGTGTGCTTGGGGAGTTGAAAATTAAGTCTTGTCCACTGAGTAGTTGAACGTATCAGGGCCGTATTTAGAGGAGGCGTTGAGGGGGTTCTTACATCCCCCGAATTTTTTCAATGCTTTAACATTTCGGAGATTAATATTAAAGTATTTACAGGCCTTCACATCGGCAACTAGTTGCCAAAGTTAGCTGTTCTACACAAAAACATCCCCCGAAAAAAATTCCTAGGTACGGCCCTGGAGCGTATGGTGGTGGAACGGGTGACCGTCGGCGCTCTCCGATCGTATGTAGTCGGCGCGTAGCAGCACAACTTTCGGTCACGTGGCTGCAAGCGGAAGTCACGTGATCTTGGCGTAAACGTCATGAACTGTGTCATATCACATCCAAAATTTAAAAAAGCAATGGCTTTCCTGGCTTACATGAGTATTGCTATTTAGCGAGTGTCGGTGGTTGGCCTGTGTCACTTGGGCATTGCGTAGTAACGACGGGAAGAGGGGTTGGGAGGTTCAAACCCTCCTCGACCCGTTGCCAGAAACGGTGCCCCAGCGCAACAACAGGTGCCCGTCACCCCCGATAGGCACTGCGCCATGCTCCTGGCGGGGCTGCAGAAATTAGGTGCAATTCTCCTCTTCTAACCACTACCACCCCTGAAAGAAATTTCTGGCTACGGGCCTGATACATTCACGCATACAAACGCACGCACGAACATGCATAAAGTACAGTTTACCCCCTCCCTGAAAAAGATCTCTGGCTACGGCCCTGCTCTTGGGGGCCAGTAAGATAGTCCGTGCCGTTTTCGTGGTTCTTGCTAATTCTTCCGCATCACTACTACCAGAACAAACGTCGTGCCGCTCTACCAAAGGTAAAGGTGTGTGAAATCACTAACGAACTACGGGGGCAGTTTTGTTTCGGGGTCTCGCCGGGTTGATGTATGCATACACACGAATAACGGTCGTTTTATGAAAAGTGCCTCTTCGTGAATTCGCGATCACGCCAACAGCGACGCAAGCCATGTATCGGTGTACGTATACGCTGCACACGCTACAGCGAAAAAGACGCGTACTTGGAGCGTCTTCCACACAATAACATTCCTCATATACCGCGTGCTTTTCTTGCGCTATCGGCGCGCGACATAGCATTCTTGATAGCAAAGTGGCAATGACGAAGTTATTCTCAAGACAGGAATATCGCAGACAAGCCAGATTACGATTATCGTTTTGTAACGTGAGAAAGACGCCTCAGATACTCCTGTTTTCTTTGCACGCTCAAAGAAAGAAAAATCTAGTAATTAGGGGGTATTTCTGCTTAGTGGTACAATTTCGTCTGGCTTGCGTGCGTTACCTTCTTAGAAAACTGTGTCCTTGCTACTTACTTCCGTATCGCGCACGTTCGTGACCGGTTAGTGCTGAAATCATGTAGGGTGAAACGTAGAGAGATACTCCCTAAATACTCGTTTTTCTAAAAAAAGAGTTCAAAGAACTCCCAGACGGGCGTTATATTCGGCACGATGAACGGGTATGCGCGCGTCAGAGCTACGCTGCTACAGTGTACCACAACGTTTTTAAATAGTGTCTCGCTGACAACTTTTCTTGGCAACGAAGGGAAGGCTACGGAGCCCAACTGGGCATGTGCCACCGCTGAAGAATATATAATCCCACAATTGCGTCCGTATTTTCCAAGTGAAGATCATAAGAAAAAACATGACATTGTTTTCTACGGAATGTTGTTTATAACATATAATACCCGTGACACACGGGCAAAAGTAAAGTACTTTGAAGTAAACCCCTTTTGTCGCCTAAGGGGACCATTTGCAGAAAGGAGTGGCGCTGATGACACACGGCACCGGACTACTGCTTTAGGCGGTGCCTCAGAAGAACGCTGCAGAAAAAATGGCGCTCTTTGTGGAAGCAGCAAGATTGGAAATATTAAAAAGAATCTGCGCATGTACATCACATTCAGCGACGCCGGAGCATAAAACCGTTTTTTTTTTTTTATTGTCTGGTGGCTTATAATGCGCATACCTGTCATTTTCTTTCGCTTTTTTTGCGTTTTTAGCAGCAACCTAAGTTCGTCTGGCATATGAACAGTCAGTGTTTTGTTGTTTTTGTTCCTCGATATGCGAGGTGCCCATGCATGTCAGGTTTTACAGGCCCGATCTTAACACACACTAAACAAGCAAGCGGGACGCGCGCGACAACGCGTAGCGTGAGTGACCGTCTTATCTGAATGTCTGTGTCAAGTTGTCAATTTTGCTGTGAACTTGCGCCCGTGTACGCGGAACACCGGCGTCGGTGAGGCTCTCAGCAATCGCCTGGTACACTCCATCGTTGTGCTTTTGCCCTCGCAAGGCATCCAAATGGTCCTTCCATAGATTTATCAGCGCCCAGGTCTCCTTTTCAGTCCACTGGACGGGCGGTTTATTCTTCACTGACTGAGCCAACTCCATTGTTACAAGATACTACGTCGCCGACACAGCAGCTGTTGTTCCAACCCTAACATGATCGCGCTAGTGACGTAATGCAGGCGTTTGAGAGTATGGACATACTATAGGCCTTCACTTTTCAATAAATCGCACTGCTGCTGAAAATGAAAACATTTTCTCAGCGCAAAAAAATACTGACAGGGCACCGCAGTGTTGCGACACGTTTTCTTCTATTGATAAATTATGCACACTGTATGCGAGAGTACTCCCTTCCTGCCAGAAAAGTAGATGCGGGATCTGCTTTTTCGAAAAGGATCTTTGCCGAAAAGGAGTTATTCCTTCGTCGTGTGTCACTGTACCCGAACGCCTTTCCGAAAGATGTCCGCTTGTCTAAAGGACTTCAGGGTGCCCGTGTGTCAGGGGCATAATTCCTTTACTTCGTGCAGTGTCTTTTCGCATTTTTGTACTTGTGAAAATGTCGCTCGTTTTAAGTATACCTCGCCGTCAAAAGAGCATCGGCTGAGCGCTCGTTAATTGCCATCCTGCCATTTCGACGACTCGCCGAAGAAGCGTGCGACGAATTTCACCCACGGACGCCGGCTTTCTAAGCAGGTCGCGGGTTCGAATCCCGGCTGTGGCGGCTGCATTTCCGATGGAGGCGGAAATGTTGTAGGCCTGTGTACTCAGATTTGGGTGCACGTTAAAGAACCCCAGGTGGTCAAAATTCCCGGAGCCCTCCACTACGGCGTCTCTCATAATCATATGGTGGTTTTGGGACGTTAAACCCTACAAATCAATCAAATAAGCCGGCTTTCTAAGCAGACGTAGTAAATCGAATGCAGCGTTATTATTGGAACACGGCCGTCATTCGAAGCGCGAGCCGAACCGGACTACTTGGTGGAGTATATGCGCAGTAGCTCCGCCCCCGTAGTTTTCCTTCATTGTGTTTTCCTTCATTGCCAATTAAAGTTGTGGGAAGGTAATTACGCTACACCCAGCCACTCTGCCTCCCGAAGCTAGGATGGAAGGGGGGGGGGGAGTACCAAAAATGAATAATCAAAATAGTTTTTTTTTTCTTTCTAAAATAGTTGAGACCTCCAGCAAGAGCACGCCCCCCCCCCCCCCCTCAAAAAACAAAATCCTAGCTACGGACTTGGTGTATGTGTGAATACGTTTGTGGAATTTCATAGGAACATTCTAATTAAGTTGTTAATTAGATGAATCGGAACTCTTTAACTGATGTAAAGAAAAAATTGTGGACTCTGGTGACTGCACCGACAGGATCGAACGACATATGCCGATTTCATTGATTCGAATCGTCCCTCTTAAAGGTGATTAATTTAGATGTTAGAGTGAAGGGGAAAAAATGCGCAGTCTGTTCTTCACGGAACGGTCAAAGATACATAGCTGCGGTGAGGCCGTAGGCGCGCGCTTTCAAATCGATACGCGGTGTGTGCTGATATAATACAATATGCCACTTCAGGTGACTCAGAAGTGAGGCGATCACATATTCGATGGATATGTAATCGACGTACTCGAGTAGCATTTATTTCACCGAACAAGATTACCCAGAAGCTCCGGGTGAGGTCTGCTGTGTTATACGAACTGACATATTTCCCTGTGCGAAACTTCACGTAGGGTACGTGTTTGTGCTCCTACCCGACTTGATGCGAACTGTACATCGCACCAGGGCCGTAACGAGTTGAAGGGGTTCGACACCCCCCGAAATTTTTTCATGCTTCAACTTTTCGTGTGGTATAATGTATTCACACGCCTTCACATCGACCACCAGTCGCCAAAGTTGGCCAGCCGTTTTACACACAAACACCCCCCGAAAAATATCTCTGGGTAAAGCCAGGGCCGGCGCCTGGATTTTTTCACTGGAGGGAGTGGGGCGCTCAAGACAAGTTCATTCAGGGGAGAGTAAAGTGCGGGTAACTAATGCATTATTTTTTTTTACTATCTTTGAGGGAGGGCAGCCATTTATACCCTCCTTTAGCGCCGCCCCATGGGTAAAATTCTGCATCGCACATACGTGCAATCACGCATAACTTCATGCGAGTCGCATGCTGTAATTTGGATCGTCCGACACTTATGTCTTCGTTGGAAAAGCATTCATCCGATGTCGCGTGTACCATATAAGGAACGCGGCTAGTTCGCTGAATTCGCTCGTGACGAGTTGCAAGCTTGTAGGCAAGAAAAATCTCACGTACTCTAGATCTCATCCTTAAATGATCACATGACGAGCGAATGCGACAATCGGTATAGTTGGGCAATTCAAGCCGGGGAGACGCGCGTTTACACACTAACCTTGAACGGCATCCCCGCTTGACGCTTCTTCGGCTTCGGTCGAAAATCCGAACTCCGAGAACAGCGGGTTGAAAACGGCCTCCAGGACAGCCCTGTCGTTTTCTGTCGTCCATGGTTTAATCGTGCGTCGTCACCCAGCCAGCGGTGTTTGCCGAAACTGCGCAGCGCGAAAGCGGCGCCTTGTTTGTCGTCTACGTTTAAATGCCCCCCGGGCGAAGACGGCAGACCAGTCTGACGACCACGTACCACGATCGCCTCGCTTGTCTCTTGGCGATCTCCGCGCCTTGGGGGCGCATTTTTGCTTTCTCTCCACTCTCTCTGACTAGATTATCGAGTCGGGAACTCTGCCTGGTAATGCGAGCTTTCAGTCGCGTCTTATCTTTCGTGGACGGACCTCTGGAAGCCGTTCTCAGGCATCCAGTGCGCATTTGACGCGATTTAATGACCCGCGCCGTGTGGGCGTGCATATTCTTGACCACAAACACGATCACCATTTAAAGCGATCGCCGCTGTAGTGTTGTTCGTCGTGTATTCAGGGAAGCTCGTACATGTTACGCTTATCTCCTCGATAATCGCGTTAGCTCCTCATCAATCGCAACTGACAAACGAAACGGCAGGAAGTGTGATAAAGTGCAAGCTAAACTGATTCAGTTATCATTTTATTCCAAAGCTCAAGCATAAAGATTTGTTCGATATAATGCGCACCCAATGTCGCCCTTCCAAAAGCACCATGTTCAAGGAATCTTCATGCCGAGGTCTCAATGGGAGGAGTATAGCGGCCTTGGCTTTCTTTGAAAAAGATCGAGACAGCCGTATAGCTGTGTTTATCTAGAAGAACTTGCTTTTGGGAGAGTTGGTGCCTTATATAGTTTGCGGCACATTTCGTAACTGTCGCTGTACTAGGAACATGAAAAAGAAGGGAGGAAAGAGACAGACGGCCTCCAAACTATCATCTGTTTATTGCGTGTGCCGGCTTAAAAACAAGTGAACTTCCAGACATGCGCAGTGACGTGAAATAGTTATCACAGACATCACGTGAGCAGTTGATTAAAGAAGGACAACTCGTTCATAAAGTACAATAGATGTGTCACTGACACAAGCCGACCCGTTACTTATAACACGCCTCCAGAAGTTCCCTTGCTGTTTGGTATCTGCTTTTGCCGATAATCCTAGCTTGCTCAAAACGTGGCACACACGAGCATGACCTGGCAAGCGCAAGATGATGCACACCATGGTGACACAATAGATGTGTCAGTGACACATCTATTATACTTTATGCACGAGTTGTCCTTCTTCAATCAACTGCTCACGTGATGACATGTCTGTGGTAACTACTTCACGTCACTGCGCATGTCTGGAAGTTTACCTGTTTTCCAGCCGGCACCAGCAATAAACACTTGATAGTTTGGAGCCCGTCTGTCTATTTTCTCCCCTCTTTTTCACGTTCCTAGTGTAGCGCCAGTTACAAAATGTCAGCGAACGCCGAGTGTATGCTAACTTTTACTGCAACAAAATTGTCTTGAAACTGGGTCGACTGGCATGCGTTGTTTTTACGATGGTTAACAATCTGATTGATCTGATCCCACGTACTATTTTGACCCCTGGTGTATTCTGCAGTCATTCGACCGCGACGACTGAAAAGGTAAGATCTGGTCTGCCCGGTTCTTGGCCCATCCCCCTCAGTGCGTGTGCGCCATCCATAAGAGGTCATCATCATCATCATGTAAAAGTATTGCTTGGACGACATTTGATTGTACGAAAAGTGTCATCGTGATGAGTGACCGTGCGTTGCCATGTCGACAAGTCAGCGACCACACTTGAGAACGAAAGTGGCTCGTGCTTTGATTAGCATGCTACACACGCAGAGTTAAATCAGAAACATCCTCCCCACAATACGAATATCACGTCTCGACCGCCGCACATAATTTATTTAAATGAAACTATACGCTCGCTATCTACATCAAAGTTCGCTTCTCTGCGGTGCTTCAAGCGGGACGCGGTTTCCGAATGTCGGGCGGAATGTACTCTTCTTCGACGTCCTCTTTGGTGGCCATCTCCTTCATCTCGTCCTCAACCTCGGCCAACTTCATTTCGAGCTGATCCCAGTTCTCGAACGCGTACAGCAGTTCCTCTTTCTCGCCCAGCTCTTTCCTGCGAAGTCTGATTGCCTCTATCGTCTGCTCCCGGTCGATTCGCCGCCGCTGCTCTTCCAGCGCGTCGTGCCTCAGCTTCTGCCAGAGCTGGAAGTCTCGCTTTTGTGCTTCGATGTCTGCGGGCTCCAAGGCCGGAAGCTGTTTCAGCGCTTCCAGCATCAGTTCGTGAACGTCCGCGTCCGAGCACCGTTTCGAATCCTCAAGCCGTGTCAGTGCCGTCTCCAGTTTACGTCGCAGCTCGTCGTCGTCTTTCAGCCCGCCGTCCTCCTTGCTCATGGACTGGCGAAAGCTCTCCACCGCGCTTCTGGCCAACACCTCTCCCGCCCCGTCGGCGGGCGTGAGCAGAGCTTCAAGGAAGTCTAGACTCTTGTCCCACTTCTGGTACAGGCCGCAGCCGACTAGGTAGTAGCTCTTGTGCAACATGTCTTCGACGCCTTCGCAGAAGAGCATCAGCGTCTTGCCTATCAGGTGGTCCGGCTCGTTCAGGTCGAAGTGATCGTCGAAGAAGGGATTGGGTATCTTGGGCACGCGCACGAATATCTCCTCGTCGTCGTCTTCCTCCGGCTCGGGTATCTTGGCGTTCGGGTCCCAGGGCTCGGGTTTCGGGTCGCGCAGATAGTTGTGGCAGGAGTAGAGCGCCAGCAACCGGCTTATGTCGTTTCCCGTGCTCTCCTGAAGCATCATCTCTATGGCGACCTTGACGGCGTCTCGGTGGTTGCCGGCTTTCACAAACGTGTCCATCAGTATGTTGAACGTGTGGGTGTCCGGGAAGATGCCGTACTCGAGCCGATTCGGGAGCAGTCGCATCAGGACGTCGTGTTGTTCGGTGTCCAGGAAGTATCGCACCGCCGCGGCATGCGTCGAAGGCAGCGTGTCGGCGGACTGTCTCGAGCGCCGGTGTCGGTTAAGCACGGTTTCGAACTCGACCGCGTAGTCCTTGCCGGACGCCTTGTTCAAGTAGACGTCCACGTCGACGGCGCTCGCCTTCTCCTTGGTGCCGAACTTCTTGCTGAGCTCGACGAAGTACGAGTCGATTCTCGTGTCGCGCAGCACCGGGTCTTCGGTCGTGCGCTTGTTCCACGCATCGCGGCAGTAGTACGCCTCGGAGAGAAGCGTTCGCGACGAGAGTCGAAGTCGCTGAGACCTTTTAAAGTCCGTTAATAGCTGTCGGGAAACTCGCCCAGAACGGCACGCGCTTTTTATGTACTGCGCCATTTTGTTTGGCCGCTGTTGTTGCCAGAGCGTCAGCTATGGTATTGGCGTTCTGTGGCAGCTATGACAACCTTTTTAAAAATAAAATACTAAACAAGCCAATTGCTCAAAACTAGAGTTTATATTTGGCGTTATAATAATATTTTTTTGTTTTTTGTGTGTTCAAAAACCTTGCGACAAACTTTCTGCTTAGTCTTTTATCTGTGAGCCTATCTAAAAGCAACGAATCTTTACATGTCATCTTATTTTACATTCTAGTGTAGTAGCTTACGTAAACGTAAATTGTACGCAAATTATGCAAATCATGGCACAAGTGCGTGCCTCTCAATAAACCGTAACTGTAGGCACGGCCGTGACAACCTGCGAATCCGGAAGCGGAGCGGAATGCTTTTTCCGTCCGTGTTTTTTCCATATATGGTGCGCGCTGCTACCGTTTTTGTACATTTGTTTTTGCTACCGCGAAGCCGTCATTCTTTTTCTTTTTCTCGGGAAAATGCCCGTGCTCTCTGCCACCGCGATCGTCCCTCCCTGAAGTTTCGCGTATCGGCGTCGTCACGCCCGTGAGACGGATTGATTCGTCGAGCGACAATCCGGTGTCGGAAAGGAAAAGGCGAGTTTCCGCGCACACCTGCTTCACTTGACGCCGAGTCGAAGGGGAGAGCGACATTTCAGTCTCGAAAAAAAATAGTGAATCGTATCGTTCTCCGACAAGATTCTTGTGCGCGCGTGTAGAAGGACGTCCTTGGAAGCCCGTCGTCTCGTGAAGCTGCACGCTTGAGCGAACAAACCGAGGTGAGAGACCCGTGCAATCGTACTTGCGTCACATTCCTTTACGCGTGAGAGCTCGGATTCCCGGGTTCTTGACCCGGAGTCGACTGTGTGCGTTTGACAGAAGGGCGATGTATCGATTGTTATAACACCGACGACAGCTGCGAATGTTCGGGACTTCGAGGGAGAGCTTGTCAGTAGTAAGTTCGTCAGAGTTGTGGAACTAATGCGAAAGTGGTGTTCGGTTTTTAGAATATATCTGTGGCGCGCGGAGTGATTATATGCCAGTCGGGTCGTATATTCTTGGTGTTCTTTTGCTTCTTAATCATCTGTAAAGTGCGAGATTGTGCGGGACGTGCGCGCTACTGCAGGTGCACGGTTTTCGGTTTGTTCGGTCGTTTGTTTTTCCTTCGTACTGTTTAGATTGTGTAACCTCAAAATGAGTTCTCAGGACTGCCCAGCGCTGCGAAAGAAAAAAACACTGCAACCATTCGCGTGTTTCTAAACAGATTTTAAAATGACGATCGAATGCGCGCGGGGCGTGGTTCACCGCGCGCTTTCGTTGGCTGTTAATCACGATCGGAATTGAGTTCCTTGATTTTGATTGCCTCATCTGCACAGTATGCGGAAGGGAGTCGGTAGGGAATATGGTTGAGAAATTCGATTCTGGTGTGACCTTGACTGCGTTCGCAAGTGAGACACCTGCACTACGCGTTAGTCATCAATGTATCAGTGCTTTCTGGGAAGATTCGAGCAGGAACGCTAACGGTTCATGCTTCACACTCATCTGAAAAAGGAATATTAATGTTGGATTATGTTTTTTTTTTTGGGGGGGTGGGGGTGGAAGGGATCGTAGATGTTCAGCACAGTCACAACGTATTGCCTCGTAACAATGCATCGCTACAGAAGTGCACGTTTGTTACGGACAAACCATTCTTTGAATATTCTATGCACTCTCGCGCCGACTGCAGTTTCTTTTAGGCTGATGCTTGGGGGAAAGTTTATTTTGCAAATGATGAACTGCGTAACTTTCACAAATTACTGCCAGTAATGCTGATCAAATAATTTTGTAGGTACGTCTGAGTAGCAGCTTAGTAGAACTTAATTAAGCAATATGGAAACTCTCTTGTTTTTTTTTTTTAATTGAGTCAAAATTTAAGATTGGAAAAACAGCATGATTCGGTTTGCAGAATCAAATGCGATTTTTGAAACATCAGCTCTTTGAGACAACTGTACTGAACCTACCTAAAAAAAATATTGGTTATTTAGTCTAGAATATTGATGCTGTAGATTTAAAGACAGTGTTCAGAGTTTTCAAATATGCTAAACAGATGAATAAACACTCATTCATTTATATATGCTCTGTTGTTAGTGTCAGCCTTATTGGTACAGGCTGTGCACATTTTTGGTAGTGCAGGTGAACACTACTTGGCGTTGAATTCAAGTTCTGGTTTACAAAATAATTAGACATTGAGAAGTGCTTTTTTGTTTAATATTCACTTTGTTGTTGGTACTGGCTACTTTGTTGTTGGTGTCGGCTACAGGTGGGGAGAAAGCTGTGCATATTTTTGATAGTGCGAGCAAATTGAGGCCCTGCTAAGTTATGAATACTTTTCTCTTTCTCCTGTTGTGTTGCAGACAAGGTTTTTCTGGCGGGAAGCTTTTGAAAGAAGAGTCTGTCGAGGTCACACAGTAGGGAACCATGGCAGCCCAGCCCGACTCCGTGATCCAGGAGTTGAGTAGGCTGCACATCAGCCACATGACACCCCAGCAGTACTCTCCACTCAGGGGCAAGAAGATTGCCCCCGTGGTGCCCCCCAAGCCCAAGAAGGTTACCCCCGCACAAGGACTGCACGGAAACTCGCATGGTGCGTCAGTGAAGCTTCACATTTGTGCGGGCTTGCCAGTTGTTCACGTTAAGACTTGTTGTTGTTGCTTTTCAGCTAAGACGTTGCCCCTCAGAGCTCAACGATACAGGTTGTGGGGTCTCGGCGAGGCGAACGCGCGCACCGCCACGCCACGCTCTTGGAGTGAACGGACACAGTGAACACGGTCGGAACAAAGCACACAACATACATACATTTATTAACTAATTTAGACGACGATATCGTCCGCCGAATGATACAACAATTTCAATTAACACTAAGCCATACAAACAACATAATGCAGGGACGCACTAAACACACAATAACATGATAAACACACACTAACACACCCAACACACTAGCACATACCCAAGGCGGCGTCGCCAACGCCTGACCTTACACGCGGGACCCCGGCGCGAAGCCCGCGGTGCCGAGCACCGGGAGCCCACGCTACAAACAACCGTTCGCGGCAGCCGCCACGCGCAGAAGAGGCTCGCTCAATGCTCGCCCACCACCAAGGCCCGCCTTCCGCCAGGGGCCACCACCGGCGCTGCCACTCTACCAACAGTGGTACTCAGAGCGAACACAACGCCATCTATCGCCCGGTGGTGGTCACCACCGAAATAACGCCCTGGGGCGAGACACGTGCGCCACGCGGCGCAGACAACTTTACAGGGGGGGTGTCAGCACCCCCACATTCCCCCAACCTTAAATCAAACCATATCCCGAAATCATAAATTAGCTACACAAGCTTTAACAAAAAAATGATATCGCACGACCATAATGTCCTTGCACCACGACACCGCCGCTGGTCGACACTGCTGCACTCTCCGGCTAGACTTCACCTCAGTACCGGCCCCGCAACAGCAACGTTGCCGTCGGCGCGACGATCTGTCGCTAGCGCCGACACGTCTTCCAGTTGCGACCAGCACTCGCGAGGGCGCCGGACTGCAGGCAGTTGCGCAGGTCCCAGGCATCTCCATCGCCCGACCTCACGACCGCATTCCTGGCCAACGACGCTGACGATGTGCAGGACAGCCGGCCGTGGATGACATCCCTCCCGCTGAATACATCAACAAAAAACAAAACTCGAAAGAAACAAAGGAGCGCGGCCCAGGGGAGGGAGCTTCAGGCTTTGCGGCCACGTGGTACGGTGGCCAGTACTGCTAGCTAATACATCGGTGGCGGCCGAGACGCCCATCAAAATAAAACAAAAATCACTTTTCCTAACCCTTGCATCGCAAGATAAAAAAAAAAGTGAGGGAAGCAGAGCGCAACCCCTCAACGCTACGATCCACCTAGTTGTGCCACGTGCGACGGGCGGCTGCGCAGAGCCTTAGGCCTAATGAGTCGCTCGGCAACAACCGGCATCCACCCAGCACCCAGCCTAGGCGCAGAAGAGGCAGCCGCGGGGAGACGTCCACTCTGTAAGGTGGCCCTATCGCTCGCCGCACACAGCAGCTTACCGAGCGATCGGCGTCCACCGCCCCGGGCGGTGTCACGACGCCCCAGTGTCGAGCCGCAATACAAGTCAGCAACGACGCCCGGCTCCCTGAGCCCAAAGAGATAGAAGAAGCTATTTACAGAAAATCGGACCACCCACGAGGCTTCCGTACTCACTCGCTTCGGGCCTGGCCTACAAACCACGTGCTCTAGGCCTTGCTCACCCCAGGATGCGGGCCGCATGGCTCTCGTCCTAATTCAACAACGTTTTTGAAAACTAACAACAAAAAATAAGAACACTTGCGAGCAAAAAAAAAAGAAAGTCAACCTGCCGACAAATTGAAACACGTTACAAAACCAATCCCCTCGCTTCTCAACAAAGCACACCACCGACGCTAGCAAAGAAGTCCCCCCTAGGCCTACTCTACTCCGGCTCTAACAAAATCCCTGTACCGAACCGCAAGAACTGTCGTCCGACACTCCAAGAGCCCCACGTTGGGCAGCCAGTGTGGGGTCTCGGCGAGGCGAACGCGCGCACCGCCACGCCACGCTCTTGGAGTGAACGGACACAGTGAACACGGTCGGAACAAAGCACACAACATACATACATTTATTAACTAATTTAGACGACGATATCGTCCGCCGAATGATACAACAATTTCAATTAACACTAAGCCATACAAACAACATAATGCAGGGACGCACTAAACACACAATAACATGATAAACACACACTAACACACCCAACACACTAGCACATACCCAAGGCGGCGTCGCCAACGCCTGACCTTACACGCGGGACCCCGGCGCGAAGCCCGCGGTGCCGAGCACCGGGAGCCCACGCTACAAACAACCGTTCGCGGCAGCCGCCACGCGCAGAAGAGGCTCGCTCAATGCTCGCCCACCACCAAGGCCCGCCTTCCGCCAGGGGCCACCACCGGCGCTGCCACTCTACCAACAGTGGTACTCAGAGCGAACACAACGCCATCTATCGCCCGGTGGTGGTCACCACCGAAATAACGCCCTGGGGCGAGACACGTGCGCCACGCGGCGCAGACAACTTTACAGGGGGGGTGTCAGCACCCCCACAAGGTGGCACCAACATTTCAGTGGGTGTGAAAGGCATAAACACACACTTTTTTGTACATTAAAATAACCTTGCGTGGTCATAATTAATTTGCAGTGTCCCACTCTATTGTGCCTCATGATCATGTGATGCATTTATCATGTAATATTCCAGAATTTTAAATTTTTATTAGCCTGAAGTTTTAAAAACGGGTGCACAGAGGCATTTTGAGCACTCGCATTAGCTTTGTACTTCTCTGTGCACTCAAAATGCTTCACTGAGTGCGCAGTAAATGTCACAATGGAGTATTCACTGAAAGTGCCACTGGGAGCTTTTTCAAAACACATTGAAGTCCAGGGCTGTCAAACTTATGTGTAGCCTTTGTGTGCATCTTACAGCAAACAACAGCAAAGGTGAAGCTATGACTTCAGCTTATTTGTACGTCTGTACACAGTTGTACGTGTCTACAGTGCCTAGCTTCAGATGATGTGAATGTAAGGCATCCTGCCTAAAATAAAAAAAAATAACTTGCATGAAATGCGAGCACAACTTTCAGGAACGCCTCACTACTATCGACACTTTTGGCACTGGAACTAAATACGGAGATGCTGTCATTGCTGCTCACTGCTTATGATGCAGCTAGAAGTTGTGAATCAGCGCTGCTGCAGACCATGAGTTATGTGGCATGTGAAAGACATTGAAAGGCATGTTTTAGACTGTGTTAATAAAAATATAATTAGGTTATGCATTGCAAGTCTGCAGGTTTGGCAAGATATATTTCACAGTATATACTACAGCTCACTTGTAAACACAGAAAACACTAGCGGCTGAATATGTAGGCTTAAAGTGATAAAGAGACTTTGTAAAAGAGATGTGGCTTGAGTTAACATTTCTATGGGCCCTTTTGAGTGGCCTTTGTTCTTGACAGAGGCAAGACCATGTGCTGAAACGTTGGCTGCAGTGGGATTTTGTTCAGTGACCTCTCATTGCTCATCTGTCATGAATTTTGCCAGTTAAATTGTGTTACAGTAAGCTTTCAGTCCCAGTGTGATTCGCGCCACTGTCCATTTCAGTGCCAGATGCAACATACGCTAACTTATCGGCACCACCGCCTGTGATGCCCTGCAAAGCCGAGCCACAGGCCAGCCCAGCAACAGCATTTGAGAGGCATGCCGTTGTATCGGCCGCTGCACTGGACTCGACAGACCCACTTCCCCCGCCTCCTCCACCACCCACGCTCGGTCGAATCCCGTCATACTCGGCATCGCAGCAGCAGCAAACTTGCCGTTCGGCCTCATACTCGGAAGACCTGCCCCCTCCATCACCACCGCGATCACCCGACAGCCTGGCGTACGGCACGGCCCAGTCTTCATCTGCTTCGTTCCACCACTTCAGGCCTCAGTCTTCGGCGGTGAGTTTCTCTCATGGTTGCCACTTTGAGGTTTTTGGAGAACAGACATTTAGAATAATAAAGCATGCCTGCTGTCACTTTTTTGCTGCTTTTGCAACTTTCCACTGGCACCGTCACAATATCGTGATAGGTTTGTCATGCCTTCTTAGACTTATCTCTTTCATTTTCGCACACCTATTTTCCCCTTCTCTAGTAAGGGGTACTCAACGAAAGATGTCCGTTGGCTAACTTCTCCCCTCATCCCCCCTTGCCTCTCTTGCTCGTACCTTTGACTGGACCAAGTGACAGAGGAGGCCTTATATGCAAAAAGTTATGGAAGAAACAGTTCGAAGCCTTGTTCTGTTTACCTGAATTCGTGACTTGTTTGTGACATGCCAAATACGATAACCACACAAGCACTCGTAAGTGAGCCATAATGGGGATACGAGGCGCAAGCCTGTCTCAGGTGACTAAAATTGAGGGCCTTTCAATCTTGGCTCTTGTGCGCCAATGTATGGCACCAAAGATAGTCTCTGCTCTTGGGGCATTCCTCTCCTCTGTCCTCTTGCCTGCAGAGAGTAGCATGTCGGTGCTTTCACATGTACGTTGGCTGAATTCTCCGTATACTTCAATAAAAGGATTTCACTTTCGCTCTCGTATGGTGGCTTTGAGACGTTAAACCACACATATCAATCATCATTGCTTCCAATATAGAAGTAAAGAGAAAGGGAGAAAGTAATTAAAAATGGAATTTGCTAAGTCATGCAAGCACTTGATTAAAAAAACAAAAAGGGTACAAAGTTTTGATACAAACAGTTGCAAACTTCAGAGCTTGTTCTTAGAGACAGAATGAGGCACTTTAATTGGTTAACACTACCGTTTTCATGGTATTCACCAATGCGCAGTCAGCTCTGAGTGCTGACTGAACACCTGTACAGTAGACTAAAAAAAATACGTTGTTTAAGAGAAGTGCCGTTTACTGAGGAATGTAATGGGTGTGTAGAATTAAAGTACTGAACTGATCGTATTATATAGACAGGTCTATTTGAAAAGCAGTATTGTTTCCAAGATTTCTGTTTACTGAGAGTCTACTGTAGTTTCAATTCTGGTGTCCGAGAATGGTAGCTTTTATTTTCTCTATGTTAATTTCTAGGACATTCGAAGCAGTTCATTTACTGAGTAAAATTGGGAACTAAATTAATTTAATCAAATTGTTTTGGGGCAGTGTGATGTGTGGTGCGCGTTCAAAGTGCGCGCCTTCGAAAAGTGCGCGAAATTAAAGGATGACCGAGTGCACGTGCTGGGTCGCCTGAACAACGACGACGCCGAGGACCGGTACACGTGAGAGCGTGGAGCGCAAGCATCCAAGACCATAAAGAAAACAAGGGCCAATGGCTGATCACCACGGAGTTTTGAAAGGCCAATCAGAACGAGACAAGTGGGCCAGAGCTGAAGCAGGAGCCTGAGGAGACCAGAGCAAGGAGAGTTCGAAGAAGACGGGGCAAGCGGAAGGTCGTCACCGGACCGGGCGCTGAAGATGGGCCGTTGGGTTCCGGACCCGAGCCTACAGGACTTCCACCGGCCGGGGCCTCCTGCTGTCGGGTTCCCGCTCCAAAGGACCGTGGCCATCCGGTCCTGAACTCCTTTCCAGGGCCTGCGGACTTTGGTTCCGGCAGGCGAGCTACAGCCGTCGGGCTCCGGGCCCGAGCTGTGCGCCCAGCTGCTTGACTAGGTCGACCCTGGTTCTCTGACGCGTCACCACCAGCCTGCGTTCTCTCGTCACAGACGGGTCCACACTCCTAAAGCCAGAGCCACCACGTTCCGGCCTGGTTTCTCGACGTGTCGTCAGCAGCCAGCGTTCCTTCATCCCCGTCCTGCCCGCGTCCTGAAGCCGGAATCACCGCGTTCCGGTTTGCTCATCGTCGGCGGAATTCAGCGTGTGGGTGAGACCGAACAGATATCTTGCGCTACTCCCATCACTCAGCCCCTTTCGAACGTTAGGTTTATTTACTGACTTTGAACGTTTTTGTTGGGTGTTTACAGGTGTGTTTCGTCATGTCCAGTCAACTGTTTATTAAGTGTTTTGTTTTGTGAGGAATCTTTGCCTTTTTTCTTTTCAATTAAACTTTTTGTGTGTTTCTTGGAAACCGAACGGCTTTGTCCTTATTAACAAAACTCTCTGAGGCTCAGCCCGGGAGAAAAACAAATCAGCAACAAGAACCTGCATCACAAATTGGCGTCCGCGACAGGACAAAGTCGTTTGTTTTTCCAGTAGATTTTTTTTGACGTGGTTAACACGATGACGAACACGTGGGAGTTAATTGAGTTGGCGGATAAAATGGGACTGACGGGAGCGGAGTTTAGAGTATGGTACGAGGAGCGGATGAAGAGGGAGCGTGAGCAACGGGCTGCGATATGTGACGCTAAAAAGCAGCAGATTGCATTGCAAACACACGCTAAGAGAGAGGAGTTCGAGCGAGAAACACGGGCTAGGAGAGAGAAGCTCGAGCGAGAGACACGCGCTAAGAAGGAGCAGCTTGAGCTAGAAATGCGTGAAAAGAAAAGGCTGCTCGAGATAGAGATGCGCGAAAAGAAGAGACTGTTGGAACTAGAATATGAGGATTTGCAGCAGTGGCTTGAGAGGGAAAACGCTGAATATACGTGGTCTGAGAGCCAGAGTAGTCAACCAGTGGATGAGGTGTGCTCTGAAAGCAGTTACATCGGGAGCGATTTGAATTTACGTGAGACTGACCCTGTACCTCGTCATGACCTTTCGCTAGAGAAAGAAACTCTGAAAGAGTATGACAGGGAGGTAAACAGTCAAAAGACTAGGAGACTCGATAAGCTTATTGAAGCGCAGGAATGCTTCGTGAGCATGGAACAAGAACGTTCCATTCAGAGTAAAGGGTATTTTGAAACCTGTGAGAGGTCAAGCGCACTTTATTCAGAGGTAGGATTGCCTCTGAATAGCTCCGCTGAAGGAGCAATAAAAGGTCTCCTAGGTAATGCCGGCGAATGCCATAATGAAAGCTCTGATGTAGCAGCTACCTATTGTTTTGGGCCACTGGAGATAGCAACAGACGCTACGGACATGGTTTTTCACCATGATTATAACTTGCCCATACAGAGAGATGGCTTGTGTTCTCGGGAAATTGTAGATGATGCTTTTAGAAGAATATTGGAGCAAAATGCAAAAGCACTTGTTGAAGAACAGAGAGTAGAGTTGCAATGTAGGTCAGCTATATGTGACAATGAGGGTAATCACGATGACCCAGGCAGAAGGGTTGAAAGTATTGATGAACAAGCAATACAGAAAGCTGAAGGGATGGAAAGTGAACCAGAAGGCAGTAATGGTCCAGCAGGTTATTGTACGAGGAAGGACGCCGACTGGTGCTCTTTGGCATCTTCGGTTGAAGAGGTCGCTTCTGTTAGGATGTCTCAACGATTAGCGGCTTACGAGCTCAAGCAAGGCGTTCGTGGGAAGGATGAAATGATTCAGGCGTGGTTGTACTGGTGCGCCTGGAGGCAACGCCTCCGACTGGCATACAGACATTCCAGCGTGTATGCTTGTGATTTCGAGGTTGGGAACCTGGTGATACACAGCTTTAGGTTCATACGAGCTTACGGTCGAGAATTCTTCCACTGGCTTCCGATTCCTTACTCTTGTCAAATGGTTAGAGCAGTTAAACGTCTTGTATGGGACGCTATAACTTAAGCGTCAAATTCGATTTCCCGCTGGTTTCTTTTGGATCTTGCTTGCGGACCATGGAAGGGTGTTGCTTGTAAATATTTGAAGAAGTTACATGCAATGTAACATTAACATGATGTATAGTTTTTGAGATGATAGGGTATATATGATAAAAAAGGGGTGGTGTACTACTAATTTGGGGATTTTCACAATCCGCTAGATGTGTCCATACTTTTTCTCACTTCTTGCGTATTTTGAGGTTAGTGAATGTGGACCTTTGGGCAATGCAGTGAACTGTGTGGCGGACATATGTGGTTTAATTGTGACGTAGTGCAGAACGCGCACTCATCGGCAGTTTTTTTTTTTTTTTTAGAAAAAAAAAAAAACTTGAATGAAAGGGGGGCGTATGTGATGTGTGGTGCGCGTTCAAAGTGCGCGCCTTCGAAAAGTGCGCGAAATTAAAGGATGACCGAGTGCACGTGCTGGGTCGCCTGAACAACGACGACGCCGAGGACCGGTACACGTGAGAGCGTGGAGCGCAAGCATCCAAGACCATAAAGAAAACAAGGGCCAATGGCTGATCACCACGGAGTTTTGAAAGGCCAATCAGAACGAGACAAGTGGGCCAGAGCTGAAGCAGGAGCCTGAGGAGACCAGAGCAAGGAGAGTTCGAAGAAGACGGGGCAAGCGGAAGGTCGTCACCGGACCGGGCGCTGAAGATGGGCCGTTGGGTTCCGGACCCGAGCCTACAGGACTTCCACCGGCCGGGGCCTCCTGCTGTCGGGTTCCCGCTCCAAAGGACCGTGGCCATCCGGTCCTGAACTCCTTTCCAGGGCCTGCGGACTTTGGTTCCGGCAGGCGAGCTACAGCCGTCGGGCTCCGGGCCCGAGCTGTGCGCCCAGCTGCTTGACTAGGTCGACCCTGGTTCTCTGACGCGTCACCACCAGCCTGCGTTCTCTCGTCACAGACGGGTCCACACTCCTAAAGCCAGAGCCACCACGTTCCGGCCTGGTTTCTCGACGTGTCGTCAGCAGCCAGCGTTCCTTCATCCCCGTCCTGCCCGCGTCCTGAAGCCGGAATCACCGCGTTCCGGTTTGCTCATCGTCGGCGGAATTCAGCGTGTGGGTGAGACCGAACAGATATCTTGCGCTACTCCCATCACTCAGCCCCTTTCGAACGTTAGGTTTATTTACTGACTTTGAACGTTTTTGTTGGGTGTTTACAGGTGTGTTTCGTCATGTCCAGTCAACTGTTTATTAAGTGTTTTGTTTTGTGAGGAATCTTTGCCTTTTTTCTTTTCAATTAAACTTTTTGTGTGTTTCTTGGAAACCGA